CTTGTCGATCAGAAAGGGCCGCAGTTCTGCAGTTCGAATCCCTAGTGCTGTGTAACGGAGTGAGCTCCCATTACTTGTCCCAGCTTCTTCCAACCTAGCAGTTAGAAAGCACGTAAAAAATGCAAGTAGAAAAATAGGAACCACCTTTGGTGGGAAGGTAACAGCGTTCCGTGTACCTTCGGTGTTTAGTCATGCCGCCCACATGAACACGGAGATGTCTTCAGACAGCGTTGGCTCTTTGGCTTTGAAATGGAGATGAGCACCGTCCTCTAGAGTCAGGAACGACTAGCACATATGTGCAAGGGGAACCTTTACCTTATTAGCAGTTAATTGATAGACAATTAAGCCAGCACATAGATCACATAATGAGGTTTATTCCTGTTTAATTAAAAGTAGATATTGCTATGTGTTATTCTATATGCCTACATTCATACACCATTCATTTTATACAATTGATTGGTGTTTTTTTTCCTTGTTCCTTTGGGGTGGATTTCCTCTTTTGTGGCAATATACAAGCAACAATCCCATGTTACTAGGACATTTGTTTAAATTGTACTTTCATGGATTAAAAGCCAATTCTTACCAAGAAAATTAGATACACATTATCTAATTTGTCACTTAAGGTTAAGCCATAATATATATCAGGATAAGTAATGTCCAAACTATGTTTAAATTGATTTGCATTGGATTTTAATTTGGAGTGAAAAACTGCAGAATGGAGAGCTAACTCATGTGGTTCATTTCTTAGGCACTTGTCTATAATCCAGTAAACGTTAGTATTGATTGTAGGTCCTTGTTTTGAAATCTCAGTCAATAAGTTCAAAGAGTGGACTTGGTTTCTTTTTCCATCCCACGTGGAAAGTTAATAACCACATTAAAAAAGATAGCATAACAGTTGCTGGGTTATAGTTCGGATTAACAACATCAAGCAAAATAGTATTGTCATTGATCAAGTATTTTGGCTATGGTTCTGATTTCAAACTTCTGGTTTCTGCTTAGTCAGTTAAGTAATTGATTCCCAATAAAATGTGATCAAGGGAATATTCCTCCTGTGAAGCATTCAAACAGTTTTATTTTTGTTTTGTTTTTGTTCTTTAATTATTTGGAATAGAGTAACAAAGGAGAAAGCATTGCGTGAAACCACATTACACATCAATAGCACATCAAGCTCAAATGCATTAAATCCCCTGTTTGAATCCACTGCTACTTCCTCAATCAAGGAAATAGAAGAGATATATTTTTCCAGAAGCAAATTGTTTCTAATATCCTGATAGCAATTTCCAGAAACAATTTGCTTCTGAATGCTCCAAAGAGACGCTGCTATCAGGATATTAATTATCCCAATATCTGATAGGCAATAAAAAGCTAAACACAATCCATCCAGAAATTTCCTGAGTTTTGCTTCTGGTAATTGTCTCCTTCAGATGATAGCAATTAGTAAGGGGACTTGGTTAATAAATGGAAGAAACAACAAGGTGACAGTGAAATACTGGAAATCTTGATTTTAATGGAAACTAAAATCGAAAATAGTTCAATGTTGAGAAAGTGGATTTTAATTTATTCAAAGCAATGATACATAAAATTCTTTGTCAACACACAAAGGGGAAAAGGAGCTCAAAATAGGTGGGCATTTCTAAAAGATACTAAAAATGTATTAGAAATAATTGTATAATTCACAGATAAAAGAAAAACAAAAGGAGGAGAAGGCAATATTACCGCACCAGAAACTTAGTGAATATCTGAAAACAGAAAGGATAGATATCAGAATTAAAAAGAGAAAATTTAAGTCAATTTAGGGATAATCTAGGATCACACTGAATGAACTGAGGTTACCAAAGGGTGCAAAAGACAAAAGGTGAGAATATGAAGACAACAATGTCCTAAAACTGCTTTTCCAAAAGGCAAATGGACTTCCTTGACTTTTTCTTTGAAAACGTTTCGCTTCCCATCCAAGAAGCTTCTTCAGTTCTAACTGACTGGTGGAGAATGTAAGGATTTATATTCTTTGCAGTCATCTGTCATTAGCTCTCTTGAGAGAACTATTATGAGAGCCAGCTTGGTCCTAGTGCAGGGGTCGGCAACCTTAAACACTCAAAGAGCCATTTGGACCCATTTCCCACAGAAAAGAAAACAACAGGAGCCACAAAACCCTTCCAGGGTGCCTGGCAATTTCCCGAATGGCCACAAAACTAACATAGGTATTTGAATTAAACATTCTGTTTTCCTCTGAAACTTTTCTTTTCTTGGATTTATCCATGGTTGGCCTACTGGGGGTCGAGAAGCTCAGTAAATTGTATGCTGGTGAATGTTGCACATTGGTGGTTGTGACACATATTTTGAGCAACAGGGAGCTGCAGCAGAGGGATGAAAGAGCCACATGCAGCTCCAGGTTGCTGACCCCTGGTCTAGTGGTTAAGGCACTGGACTAAAAAGGAGACCATGAGTTCAAGTCCCATCTTAGCCATGAAAGCCAGGTGGGTGACTTGGGGCCAATTCACTCTCTTTCAGCCCAATCCACCTCACAAGTTTGTTGTTGTTGTGGGGATAATAGGAGGAAGAAAATGTGCTGGATATATTCACCGCCTTGAGTTGTTTGTTTGAGAGATATAAATAAATAAATATTTTGTGAAACACATCCTTTGCAGCGATATTAAACTCTATACTGATCCTTCAAGGGTCTTAGATATAACAGCAGTCATTTCATGTAATACACTTAGGTTACCCTAACTATATTTCATGAAATGATTGCTTTTACATTGTGGATGTCATCTCGGAGCCCCTTCAGTAATGGTTGAGAAATCCAGAAGGACAAGTGCAGTGCCATAGAATTAGAGAAGGGCAAACATCTCCTTATCTTCAAAAGGGTCCTGGCCAACTTCTACACTGATTGGCTTGGTGTCAGGACCAAGCAAAAACAGATTATAAAATAGTCAATTTGTTAGCATTTGGGAAAGAATGCATGGCTGGGCAGAAGCCAGCATGGGTTTATTGGAAAGAAGGTCTGCCAAAGCACCCTGGTTTGTTTTTCTGATAGAGTGACCAATTCAGTTAACTATGAAATATAGTGGGCATTGTATACTGCGATTTCAGAAAAGCTTTCAACACCATCTCCCATGAGATCATAGTAAAAAGGATGATAAAAAGTGGGCTGGGAAAATGGGCAAGATGAATATGCATTAGAGATAAGTGGAAAGATAAATGCAATTGATTTTAAAAAACCAAAAGGCATAATTATAGGGGGATATGTTAGGGAGCAGTAAATGCAGAAAGAATCTGGGGTGTTTTGGTGGATCAACTGTTGAACATCAACCAATAGTGTTAATGCAGCTTCACCAAAGGGAAACTAGACTTCATCAGCAGAAATAACAGCTCCAAAATCAAAAGAAACAATTCCCTGTTCTCCATTGATCAGACCAACCTAGAACATTGCACCTAGTTTTGGCCATTGCATTTTCAAAAATATATTAACGTGGAGTAGAATCAGAGAAGAACCAAGATTAAAAAAACTGGAAAGAAAACCTTAGGAGAATAATTTGGTGTGTTCGGTGTGCAGAAAGGAAAACAGTAAAGAAACATGATCTCTGTCTTCATGTATCTGAAGAGAAGTCATGTCTCATAGAAGGAGCAGAATTGTTCAAAATTAGGATAGATCCCCCCAAATGATCCAGATTCAAAATTCCAATGTCCATGTCCCCTTGTGGTCGCATGATTACATTCTGGGCCCTCGGCAAACAGCCCCTCATTTGCAACTGTTTGCACATCCCATGTGACTGTAATGTTTTTCAAACTCAGCAACTTTAAAGTGCGTGGGCTTCAACTCCTGCTGGCTGGGGAATTCTGGGAGTTGAAGTTCACACATCTTAAAGTTGCCAAGTTTTAAAAAAAACTGCACTAAGGCATAATGAGAATATAGGAAGTGCTGGTAACGGGGAATTGCCTGATTTGGCACAGATAACATTTTCTTTCTTGAAATCTTTGTTGTATGAATATCGGGTTGAAGGTGTTAGAAAGTTCACATAACTTCACTGTATTTTTTTATTGTAGTCTTTGCCAGAGAACTCTGGGCTTTGTTTAGTGGTTGTGTGTGTGTGTGTGTGTGTGCGTTGTGTGTGTGTGTGTGTGTGTATTTTGAACCTGAATTTCCAGTACTTCGCTACAGTAATTTAAAATAGATTCCAAAACAAGTCAATACAAGTGAACGGTGTTTAAGAAATGCTCTTTGGAACTTTCTTAACTACTTTGATACTTTGCAACATACTTTTGAAAAGTATTTTAAAAAAAGATCTGTTAAACATACAATAGACTTAATAATTTGAAAAAAATACGTATTTGGTTCTGAGTTAGCAGTTTGCTGTGTCCTCATGAGTGGGGTTATTATTTCCTCCGAGTGGGGAAAATAAATTTATTAATCTATGAGTATAGGGAGAAAGACTAATGTAATAGCTTCAGTGAACGTTATTTAAGGTTCTAGTATTCATATTTTCAAAAAGAGGAAATGAATAGTTCTACATTTTTGAAATTCATTTGAAAATTCTTGAAATCCCAACACTTTAATATCACAAGTCATTGAGCATGGAATGACAGAAAAACAAACAATGCTTCTCTTCTATGTCCGATTATTCTAAGTTTTACTTTGCATTGTATCTTGTAGGAAGCTTATATGAAGGCACAAAGTAAATTGCTAAAGTTGAACAAATACAGCATACCGTAATTGGCAAACGTAACTTAGTTCAAATATTGAATTAGAATATAGAAATTTTGCCTAAGTAAAAGGAGCTTTTAAAACATATTTCATAAATATTTATTACTATTTATCAACTATCAGCTAAATCAATGGCGATACATTTGGTTAATGTAGAAAAACCCATTTGAAAATAACTTGAAACTTAGTATTTTATTTTATTGGTGGTTGCTCATTATATTACAGCATATTGCCTTTTATGTGTTCCTTTTCTGGTTGTTGATGTAGATTTATTCATTTTTTCTTCTTTTGCTTTCAGGAATTCTATGAACATACAAAAACACTTTGGCAAGATGAAGGTGTGAAAGCGTGCTATGAAAGATCTAATGAATATCAATTGATTGACTGTGCTCAGTAGTAAGTACAGCTTTTCTTACAATTAATTTTACTGATATATTAGAAGAAGAAACAGTGGAAAGATTCTGTGTTACTGCTGATATAATAGCGCAGGAATTCTGGGAGTTGAAGTCCACAGATCATAAGGGGGGCATAGTTCCCCCATCCCTGATCTAAATAGTTAAACTTGAGCCACATATTCATAAATAGTAAGTTTGCCGAGTTAATTTGATATTGTTGTAACTTTATACTGCAGCATTTAATTCAAACATTTTTGACGTTTTGAGGATAATAAGCAGTGGGAACTTCACAGAAAATCAACAATTTCAAATGTATAATTGCAGTGTTAGAGAAAACATTCATTGTGTTGATATATAAGAAAAGCCTACTTTATAGCACCGCTAAGGTTGGACTAGTCTAGGAGAAAATCACAAACTAATTAGTCCTTTTAATTAACTTAAATCTGCCATTAACTCTGTCACCAAAATAAGTTAAATATTATGTGCAAATGTGAATCACATTATGTATCTTATTACAAATTAGCACAGCCTTCTTTTGTTGGAACAAGCTCAAATGATGTTTGTTAGTATTTCTACCTCTTTTCTTTTGTTTCTTCTTGGATTACCTTTGAAAATTAATCCACAAAATACAGAGTTGGGTTCCTACAGGTTTGGCCTGGTTCGGCCGAATAGGTAGTAACTTGGCTACTCACACACCCGAACCGGTTCTATTGTCGGTGGCGCCATCTTGATTTTTGGTTCTGCACATGCGCAGAACAATCTCCATTGCAAAAATGTAATTTGTTTTCCCTTTTCTAACGTTCTGCACATGCACAAAACTTTTTTGGTGTAAATGCGCACGCACGCGGAGCAAAGTGTTTTTTTGCACCGAGCCGGTAGTAATGTCGGTAGCAGCCTACCCCTGCCACAATACCATATCATTTTCAAACAGAGCCATTACAAGGCTTTGCTATATGTAATTTATAGCTTGATTAGCTGTAAAATAATTCCCTGGGTATCAACGTCACAGATAAGGCTGGAAAACTGCAGTTTTGAGGGATCAGGTAAACTTTTTCTTCTATCCTATCAGAAGATGAGATTCATTCCTGATCAGATCATTTTAAAAAGATGCCTTTTTAAAAAGGTTTGATCAGGAATGAAGCTCATCTTCTGACAAGATAGAAGAAAAAGTCTGCTTGCTCTCTCAAAACTAGTTTCCCAGCCATATCTGCGAGGTTGATACCCAGGGAATTGTTTCACAGCTAATCAGGCTGTATTAATTTGGTAAAATAACTTTTTAAAAAGGTATCTTACCAAATAAAACTTTTCTAGATTGGTCTACAAGATTAAAACCCTTAGAGATTGGTAGAGATCAATTTTGATCTAGTGGTGAAGGTATCAGACTAGAACCAGAAAACTGAGTTACAGTCTGCCCACGAAAGCCAGCTGGGTGACTTTGGGCCAGGCATTTTTACTCACCTCAACCCACCTCACAGGATTGTTGTAGAGAAAATAGAGAGAGGAAGAAGTTTTGGCATATTCAGTGCCTTCAGTTATTTATAAATAATAATAAAGGCGAGATGTTAAAAAATATTTTAAAAAATACATTGGAAGGATACAGCAACTACACAGTTACTGTGTAGTTTGCTCTCAGTTGCCATCTTCTGGCCAGCCAAGAGGTCATAATTGGGCTGTGCCGATTTGTCACACTTGTTGTTGCAAAAGGCTTTAGAAAAAGTAAATTACTTGATACAGCAGCTTAGTCCTCTTTATAAAATAATAATAAAAGGGCAAGATCTCTCCACAATGTATGAAAACATGTTTTTGAGAATTACTATTTTACAGGGAGCATTATTTCATTGATAGTTATTTTAGAAATTTCTCACCCAAGCTCTGCACCTCTTTATATGTGCAACTTAAAATACTATAATATTTTGTATATGTATCCATGATTGCAGTGTGGATGTATCCTCAGATGACTTTTTGAAGAATGTATGACCAGCAATAAATCTATATTTGCTAGGTTGAAGTGTTTTTATTACCTTGGACAGTTAAATTATATGCATTGATTACTAGTTAAAACAGCTGTGCTTCTCAATTTTATGTTGGTGGTTTCATTTTCATTGTTCCAATACTGTTTGTTTGTTATTGCCTTATAAGTCCCTTATGAATAAGCAGATAGTTTTAGAAACTTTAAAATAAGTAGATCAAGTTGAGAATGTGCTTGTATAACCTTTGTACACTCCCATGGTATAATAATGCTTGGTTAAAATCGTTGAGAGCTTCCTCTGCTGGCTCTGTCTTTGAAGCCTACAGATGACTTTGCTATGGGGTTGATGGGCTGTCCAACTCAAGAATTCCAGGGAAGGATCTCAGGATACATTTCCATCCTACTTAATAATAGGATCCATGGTGTGACTTCCATCTTTATTCCAAAGTTCTTTGCTGGAATTCCTGATTGAAGTCAATTTTGTCGATGTTGATCTCACAGCAGATAAAAGATACAGTGATTTAGAGCTGTGATGGCGCAGTGATTAAAATGTAGTATTGCAGGCTAATTCTGCTGACTGCCAGCAAGCAGTTCGATCCTGACCGGCTCAAGGTTGACTGAGCTTCCATCCTTCCAAGGTGGTAAAAGGGGAACCAAGATTGTTGGGGACAATATGCTGCCACTGTAAACTGCTTAAAGAGAGATGTAAAGCACTATGAAGCAGTGTATAAGTCTAAGTACTATTGCTATGCAGTTTCCTTTTCTCCATGAACAATACAGTGGGTTATATCATACAACGTAGTGTATGATAAAGTACCTACTTTTCAAACTGTGAAAGAACGAAAAAAGAATTTCATTAGCAAGAAATTATTCGGCATAACTCGCTACTTTAATATCCATACTATCTTCTTTTAGCTCTTTTTATGAATTCTCCATTTGTAATATTGGACTTTTTAAGGCAAAGACTGCAGTCTTCCGTCTCACATGAATTTATACTTGTTTTCATTAGATTTTTTTTTTCTCAATCTGACTAGTGTGTTAGAATAGGAAACCTGTCACTTTCAAAATACTGTTCAACTTTCTGCTTCTGGGAAATTTAGTTCATCACCACCCCCTTTTTAGAAGAACGATTGCTTGAGCCTGTACTTCCTGCTTACTTATGCAGAAGTGAACAGCTTGAGGGGAGGGGAAAAAAGCAATTTCTCTTCCCTTAACTAAGGTTACCAAACTGGTTACTTTCACTGGAGCTGGAAGGGGAAAAAAATACCTGTGATCCTGAGCCAGAGATGTCCGAGTGCATTTTACTTTGCAAGATTAATGAAAGCTAGGAGGGAAGTGTCAATACGTTTTTTTTTCTCAACAGATTTTCAGGTGATTCTATAAAAAGGAAAGGAAAAAAGTAAATGCGTGGGAAATGTGGCCTCGCTATTACCATCTAGAATCAGAATAATTCACTTTTAGTTTTATACCAAGTAATTTGTCCATATTTAGTATTAAATGGAAAATGATTTTATTGTAATGGTAATACTTGGGAAGTGAGATTCTTATCAACGTGAATGAGATTCTGGCAAAGGGGCATAATGGAAAAAAGAAAGTTAAAGAAACACCTCTTCTAACAGCATATTACTGCAAAATACTTGCTTGAAAAGTATACCATCTGGTAAATGTTTCCTTGATGTAATGAAAGTCAGTTGGAAGAAGTAAGGTAGCTTCATCATGCCATTATTAGTAGTTACTTTTCAAATATCCAAATCTCTCCTAAAAGGGTACAGGATAAACATATTCTGTGATTTTGATTTAGAACTTGTTTTACTTCATATTATTCTTCGCATTGTTTTTGTATTATCATTATATCTTATTATTTTGGCCTAATTACGGTAGTTGGGTCATATATTTTCTACCGCTTCAATATCCATAAGAAGGCAGAGCAATCTTAAATAAATAACCAAGCATCCAACCTGACAGTTTTATTACAGTAATACAAGCTCTTCCATCTTCCCCCACAAAATCAAGGTGGAAGGGCTTGTGTGTACGTGTGTGTGCGTGTGCACGGACACACATGTGCATACGCACACGCACGTTTGCTCATGCCCTCGTTCTGCTAAAGATTTGCTCTGTGTATCCTCCAGTTAACATTTCCTGGACTTTTACCAGGGTGGAAAAGGAAATAGGGCGAGGGAAGCCTTTCGCAAGCTGTTTCACACCCCTTCGACTTCAGGAAGGGCTGGAAGTAGCGTGAGAGAGTTTCTGTTCATGGTGTTTCCTGCAAGAATGCCTCTACGTGTTTTCTTGCTGTCTGCCATTTCAAAGGAAGAGCTTAGGAGGAAAGCAGAGAGCCAGGTTAGATTGCCTGCACTTCATAGTTACAAAAATCCTGGCTTAGCTTTAGAAGGGGCCGAGCAGCCATTGAGCACTCTAGAAATCACATATTTGTAAAAGAGTTGGTTTTGTGTTCTCATTAGAAGAGAGCTGAAGACAGCAAATAGTAGAGAATCATGGGAGGTGGCAGAGATATACCAACATTATTGTGTCCTTTGTGTTGCTTGTTATTTGCATGATTCCTCCTCAGTCCATAAATGTTCGCACCCATTGACACCTAATTGTCCCAAACTGGTTCTTGTGTAATTATCTCCTTTAAATGACCCTTGTAATAAATAAACACTGGTTTTTTTTTAAGCAAATATTCAATCCTGTCCCCTTAAACAGTGTTTTCATGATAGGTGTTCTGAATGGGGTTTTTTTTTCTGTAACTTTGCATTGATTTTTGTTGTTTGATTGTTTCCCGCTATTACTTCTGCCCACAATGAAGGCACATGGTGAGTTGCTACTTTCTGATATACCCAGAGATATTAACAACATACCTATTCAATGAAAAAGTGGTCCTTTAGGTGATATAGTAGTCTTTAACCACTGAATCACAAGCCAACCTCACCACTTAGCATTTCGAATCTTATTGTGAAGCTCAGAAATGGCAAGCAAAATTCCTTGAAAGACAATTTCCTTGCCACTTTCAATATTTCTTTTTATAGAGC